CCACTCAGCCCTCAGTAGGCTCAGGGGCGTGCCAGGCATCCCGAGGAAATGCTCTCTGCACCACTCCACCTGGTTTCTCCCGGGGGAGTGAGTGGAGCAATGGGCGCGGCCGGTCTGGCTCCATGGTGCACCGTCGGCCTGCGGACGGAAGGGTCTTGGGTTCGATTCCTGGCCAAGGGCATGTATCTCGGTTGCAGGTTCCCCAGCCATGATAGCAGCATGTGCGGGAGGCTACCACTCAATGTGTCTCTCTCACTTCGATGTTTCTCTCTCCCCCTCCTTCCCTTCCACTCTCTCTAAAATCAATAGGGAAAATATCCTTGTGTGAGGATTTAAGAAACAAGCAAACAGCCCGGCCCGTGTGGCTCAGAGACTGAGTGTTGACCTATGAACCAGGAGGTCAGGGTTCGATTCCCAGGCAAGGGCATATGCCCAGGTTGTGGGCTTGATCCCCAGTAGGAGGTGCGTGCAGGAGGCAGACAATCAATGATTCCCTCTCATCATTGATGTTTCTTTCTCTTTTCCTCTCTCTGAAATCAATAAAAAAAATATGTATTTTAAAAAACAACACAGTGATGTATGAAATTCCCCCCCACACACAGTAGGGATGATTCTGTGGGTTTTTAGTTAATCCTCACCCAAGGATATTTTTCCCCCATTGATGTTTAGAGAGAGTAGAAGGGAGGGAGATGGGGGAGAGAAACATCGATGTGAGAGAGACACATCGATTAGTTGCCTCCTGCACATGCTCCAACCCAGGCTGGGATCAGGCCTGCAACCAAGGTACATGCCCTTGAGTGGGAATTGAACCCAGACCCTTCAGGCCATGGGCCGATGCTCTAACCACTGAGCAACCAGCCAGGGCGGATTCTGTAGGTTTTTTTAAAAAGTGTTTTGCACGTCTGTGCTGCCCACTGACCTATGCCAGGCGACTGGGGGTCCGGGGCGCTGTATTGAACATCGCTGACAGGACGATGGTGCTGTGGGGGACAGCCTCTCCCTCATCGCCCCCACGCAGGTGGATCCCATGGTTGCTGTGCTTTACATGCCGCCGGAGTAGCCGCTGAGCCTGAGGTCCAGGGATCTCTAACTGCTGGCTGAGGACGATTTCCTAGAAGTGGAACTGCCCAGTCAGAGGCCGTGGGCGCTCACTGCCAAACCGTTCTTCAGAAAGCTTGTACCCACAGCTCCCTGCCTGGCCAGAGGCCGTGCTCACGCTCCTGTGCCAGGACTGGGTCAGGCCGTTCACGCTGCCATCTTTTCCAGCGGGGTGGTGCTTCTCTGACCCCAAAGGGCTCTCTCTCCGTGGACACTTGCCTTGTCTCTGCTCTTTAGGCCCTTCCCCAGCTTTCTACGGAAGGCTTATCTGGTCCTTAGGAGCGTAGAACGTTCTTACCGGGTTAGAGATGGTGCGAAGCATTTAGATCCGTATAGACCCTTCCCCATGAGAAGATGGGAAGGGCTTTGCCAAATCCACACAGCGGAGAGGGACAGGACCGGGCTACACTGGGGCCTCAGGGCCTCATGCTCCATGCTGGGGGTTCAGTGGGACCCGCCCTCTGCTCCCCCTCCTCCTCCACGGGGCCAGCACCTTCCCAGCCTCACCCCTTAGCAGCTGACCGTCCCCTGGGCATACCTCCCTCCACATCTGTTCTGTGTGTGGCTTCAGGAGGTCTGTGGAGGGAAGTCCTTACATCACAGGAAGTGCCACAAAGGCCCAGGGCCTGCAAACACTGGGGCCTGAGCTCACCCGAGGTCCAGGAAGACTCTGCCAGCCACGTGTGTCATTCTGTGCTCCGTGGGCACTTAAAAATATGAAACAGGTGGAATAGGTTTTAATAATCCATCTAATGTATTATATAAGAAACGATCTGTTGCTCTGGATGGTTTGGCCTGCAGACTAAAGGGTCCCAGGTTCAATTCCGGTCAGGGGCACATGCCCCGATTGTGGGCTCGGTCCCCAGTGTGGGGCATGCAGGAGGCAGCCAACCAATGATTCTATCTTATCAGTGATGTTTCTCTCTCTCTCTCCCCTCTCCCTTCCTCTCTGAAATCAATAAAAATATATTTTAAAAAACATCAAGAAACGATCTGTTTAATAGGTAATCAAATTGTTAAAAAAATATTAATGAGCTATTTTCTGTTCTCTTTGTTTTGTACAAACCTTTTCTGAATCTGGTGTGTATTTTATGCTTTCAGCACATCTCTCTGGGACTGGCACCTTTCAGCGGTCACTTGAATGCGTGTGCGTGTGCATGTGTGTGTGTGCGTGTGTGTATGTGCACACACGTGTGTGTGGGGGTTTACTAGGGCCACGGGTCTGGGCGTTCCCTGGAGGGACAGAGCGGAGGGCAGAAAAGCAGGTGGCCGGGCTGGCCGCGGAGACTGGCCTCCTCTTAGGTCCTAGTTCTGACAGTGCCTCCCTCTCTAGAGGCCTAGCCTGCCTCAGCATCTCCCCTCCCCCAGCACTTCCGCCCCCTCCTGCCTCGTCGTGATGCTCTCACCGCTGACATATTTACTCCTGCGTCTAGGTTACTGTTGGGTGTGTTTTTTTAATCCTCTCCAAGGACAGGCTTAGAGAGAGGAAGGCGAGGGAGAGAGAAACTTTAATGTGAGAGAAAACATGGGTTGGTTGCCTCCCCCACGGGCGATCAAACCCCAGCCCAGGTGTGTGCCCTGGACTGGGAATTGGCCCGGCAATGCTTTGGTGCACAGGACACCGTCGCCCGGACCCGCTCTGGGCAGGTACACATTTGCTTATGGTCACATCACTCCAGATGTCACCTCCCCCCATGAACTGGAAACTCCACGGCAGCCCCTGGGACCCTTCCTGACTCCCCTCAACACGTGTTTCTGTGTGTGACCCACCCCCAGGTCCGCTCTGTTCCCATGGTGGTTTGTCACCGAGTGATCTGGAGACCACAGGGAGGCAGGCCAAGGGGTGGGGAGGTCTGTGAGCTGCCAAGAACATGGCCGCATTGCCATGACAGCGCCTGGCACTCGGCGTGGGCACCTGGTTTCTGTAGGCCTTTAACCGCGGTCACTGTCACGCGGCCTGTCCCCACGATGGCTCCCCCTTGCCCAGGCAGGGAGCTCAGGCCGGTCTGCCAACCAGGGGCCTTCCCTGCGGGTGCCTCACTGGCGTCCACTCTGGGCCAGGGTCCTCACAGTGGGGACCCTCCAGCTGTGGCCCAGCCCCCAGTTCTTGGCTTCCGTGCCCTCCCCACTCCCTTTACAGATTGAGCTCTGGCCAGACCGCAGGCGCTCCCTCATCTGAAGGCCCCCTGGGGCCTGGCCTGGGGAAAGCTGGGGGGGGGGGTATGTTTGGAGGTGGGGGGTGGCGTTTGGGAGCTGAGAAACACTGTGGGCCATAAGCAGTTTCTCAGCTCTCCCCCCTCCCCCCCAGCTCCTCTGTGCTTCCCGAACCCCCTGAGGTCTGAACACTGCGCCAACCTCAGCCTGCCGCCTCCCAAGCTCAGCCTGCCCCCACGCCCCAGCTCTGCCATTTCTCCCTCGTTCACCAGGTTTGGGGAGCAGCCGCTGCAAGTCAGTGCCTTCCAGGCGCTGGAGATACAACTGCAAATAAGCGGAGAACCCCTGCACGCAGGGGGCTCCCAGTCCAGCGGAGGAGGAGCGGACCGGACCGGGAGGAATAAGCGCTGTGAGGTCTGTGATCTCGCTAAGCAGCAAGACAGGAAGCTGGGACAGGGAGCAGCCCCGCTGCCTGCCACTGCGGATGGGGTGGCCACTCCTCCCCCAGCCCCTGGTCTCTGCCCAGCCAGGCGGGCCCTGGCCTCTGGCCTGGCCTCCGTGCCGCCCGGTCTGCCTGCTGGGAGCGCCCCGCACACGGGGGCAGGGGGGCCGGGAAAGCCGCATCCCAGCGGCCCAGCTCCTGCGGGAGCGGGGCTGCTCCCCGGGCCCCCTCCCTCCGGCCCGCGGCTCCCCTGCCCGCCCCCGCGGCTCCCCGTGGCCGCAGGCCTCCTCCCCTCCTCCCGGTTCCCCGGGTCTCCATCCCCCCCCCCCCCCGGGGCCTGGAGGTCACCTTCCCCCGGGCCATGGGAGGCGCCCGCCACCAGGGGTGACACCCTGCAGCGCAGCGCTGCCCGGCCCCCGCGCCTGCCCGCCGGCTCTCAGCCCGGCCCCGCGCCCGGCGGATCCGGGCGAATGAATGGATCCCGCCGGGCGGGGAGCCCTGGCCTCATTCAGGCGGATCTTTCCCCCCTTCCTCCCCCGCGCCCCGCGCCCCGCGCCCCGCGCCCCGCGCCCCGCGCCCCGCGCCCCGCGCCCCGCGCCCCGCGCCCCGCGCCCCGCGCCCCGCGCCCCGTGCCCCGCCGGCTCCTGGGGGCGGGGGGCGCCTGGAGAGCCCGAGATTGATGGACGGGGTGGAGGGGGGACCCCACTTCCGCCCGGGACACGCCGAGGCGGGAGGGACCCCATCGCCTGACTCCGCGCTCCCGGGCGGCGCAGGCCGGGCGGGCGGGCGGGCGGGGCGGGGCGGCGCTGAGTGGCGGCTGCGGGCCCGCCCCCGGCGGAGGGGGGGAGGAGGGAGGGAGGGAGCCGGAGGCGGCGGCGGCGCAGGAGCATGTGCCGCGGAGCCCAGTAACCAGGACGACCGGCTGCACCGCGGCCGCCTCGGCGCCCAGCCCAGCGCAGCCCGCGCCGCGGCGCCCGGAGAGGCGGCCCCGGCCCGGCCCGGCCCGGCCTCCCCGCGGCCCCGGCCCGGTCCCTGCCCCGCGGCCCCGGCCCGGCCTCCCCGGCGGCCCTGTCCCTGCCCCCGGCCTCCCCGGCCTCCCCGGCGGCCCTGTCCCTGCCCCCGGCCTCCCCGGCCTCCCCGGCCTCCCCGGCGGCCCGGCAGCCTCGGCGCCCCGGCCGCGGAGCGCAGCGCGGAGCCCCCGGGCCGCGGGCTCGGCGCAGACAAAGGCGCGGCCCGGCCCGGCCCGCCGCTCCGCTCCGCTGGGCGCCCCCCGGTCCGGCCCGGGGCAGGGCCGCGGCCGCCGAGGATGGGGAAGTCCAACAGCAAGCTGAAGCCCGAGATCGTGGAGGAGCTGACCCGCAAGACCTACTGTGAGTGCCGACCCCGCCCAGCCCCTCCTCCGCGCCCCTTCTCCCCGCCAAGCCCCGGCCCCGCTCCGGTCCGCTCCCCATGGTCCCCCCAAACCCCGGTCCCCGCCCAGCCCCTCCTCCGCGCCAGGCTCCCCAAACCCCGGCCCCGCTCCGGTCCGCTCTCCATGGCCCCCCCCAAACCCCGGTCCCCGCCCAGCCCCTCCTCCGCGCCAGGCTCCCCAAACCCTGGCCCCGCTCCGGTCCGCTCTCCATGGCCCCCCCCAAACCCCGGTCCCCGCCCAGCCCCTCCTCCGCGCCAGGCTCCCCAAACCCCGGCCCCGCTCCGGTCCGCCCCCCATGGCCCCCCCAAACCCCGGCCCCGCTCCGGTCCGCCCCCCATGGTTCCTCCCAAACCCCGGTCCCACTCCGGTCCGCCCCCCATCCCCAACGCCGCCGCCCTCCCCCGGCGCCCTGCCCTGCCCTGCCCGGACCATCTCGGAGCCCGGACAGGACCGCCCCGCTCCACCCCGGGCCCCATTGTTCTGGCCCCGGCCCCCCACACCTGGGGCGGAGGAGCCACCCCCAGGCCGGGAGGGGAAGCCCTCTCCGCGGCTGTCCGAGCGGGCAGGGCGCGGGCCGGGGCGGTGGTCCAGCAGGGGCGCCGGGGCGCGGGGGTTCCGGCTGCGGGGAGCCCGGGCACCAGCGCGGCGGGCGGTGATTCATGCATCACGATGCCGCTGCGAGGCTGGCCTGCGCCCCCTCCTTGCCCCATCGTGTGTATGTGTGTGGTGTGTGTGTTGGGGTGAGGGTGGGGTGGGGGTGGGGGTGGGGAGACTTGTCGGGGAGCTCGTGGCAGTGGGGGCAGCCAAGGGCCCCGGGAGCCCTGTTGGATTTCCGGCTGAATTGTCCTCTGACTCCGATGCCCATGTCCCCCTCTGTCTCTGTCTGCCACACAGCCCTCGGCGATCTGGTCCATGCCGTCCTTTCCCCCAGGAGCGCCCCGAGAGGAGGGTCTGTCCGGGTCAGACTTCCCTAGTGGGTCTCCCTCCCCCCACTGCACACTCACAGCTGCTCCCTGCAGACCCTCCCCAGCCCGGGCGGTACTCCGGTGCTGGGGTTGGTGGCCCTGGGTCCTGGCCTCCGGCTGTTCTTGGGGGTGGGGGTGGGAGGGCGGGCATCTGCATCCTCTGGTCGGGCTTGTGCAGGGGCCCTGGGCTTGAGCTGGAATTCAGAACCAACGTGGGCAGCTGCGTGGGTCCAGCCCCTGTGCAATCCCCGGAGTCGGCAGATCAGCTGCCAGCCCCACGGTGATGGAGGCGAGGGAGGCAGGTTCGGATGGTGCATTGCACAACCTCTGCTTCCGGCTCCCCCGGCGCGCACGCGCACACACGCATGCACACACACACGCAGGCACACACACACACACACACACACACACACACACACACACATGCTCCATCCTGGGCACGCTTGCAGGTCTGTCCAAGCCTCTGCTGCAGGTCCCTGGCCCTGGCACCGGTGTGCCTGGAACAAAGGGGCTTTCCTGAGCGGGTGCTGGTCCGCTGACAGGGCCTGGCCCCTCTCCAGGGGAACCTGCAGCCAGGAGCTCAGATCCCGGAGGTGCCTTCCAAGAGCCGAGCTCCGGGACTCCCTCCTGCTGCTCCTGCCTCTTTCCAAGGTGGCTGGGTGGGCCCAAACCCCTCCCAGTTTGGCTGCTGCTTTGTGCCATTCGCCGGGCCTGTCTTCAGGCTCCATCAGAACCTGTGAGCAGGCAGGCTGCGGGTGGGACTCCCGGCTCCTGTGCCAGGAGACATGGCTAGGGCTGCACCGGGGTGTCCCCAGCCTGGTGGCGCCGGGGAGCCGCCTGAGAGCTGCCTGGAGCCGGGTTTTCTGCTCAGTGGGCACGGCACACACTGAGATCTTTGCGTTGATAACACAATGAGTCCTCGCTGCTGCTCTGGGCACGGGCAGTGCCGGTCCCCATGGACAGATGAGGAGGCCAAGGCTCAGACAGGGAGTGGCATGCCAAGACCCCACGGCCCGTCGCAGCATCGCGACTTGAACTCAGGTCTGTGTGTGTCCAGAGTTACGTCTCGGTGCTCACCGGGAAGCCGGGGGCTTCTCCTCGCGTCCCTCTCTGGCGTCTGCTGTCAGCCACATTGGTGGGTTCCGGATGGAAGGAGGGGGGCCTTGGCAGTCATTTTGTTAAACCACCCCCTCCGGGCATGTCTGTCACCCTGGGAGCAGCAGAGTCCATGAGGATCTGTTAGGATCCGGCCTGGAGGTGCGGGACTGGGCTATTTTTAAAGGCCTTTGGAGACACGGAACAGTTTCTCTCAGGGAGAGGGTTGGCCAGCTCTCCTTTCCCAGAGCCCTCGCCGGCGCTGGGCTGGGGGGCTGGTGGCGGGCTCTCTGCCTCCCGCGTGCCTTCCTTGCTGATGCCGGCTCCCTCAGCACCGGCCTCGTCTGTTTGGTTGGGCGGGCACTTAGTAGGCCCACAGGTTTTTGCAGACTGAGAAGTCTCCCAGCAGAAGGCTGGAGACAGCCTCTCCCGGCATGTCAAACTCAAACCGGCGGGCCGCCTGCCTGGCTTACTTACCCGGAATGAGCCAGATGGGCTTCCTGGGACGCGGAGCGGCACCATCTGCCCTCTGCTCGGGGGACTCGGCGTGTGGACACAGGTCACGAGTGGAGCCTCGGGAAGAAGGCTGAAATGTCAGAGCCGCCCGGAGCGCTAGCTAAATGCCACGGGCCTTCGGGTCTGGTCTGGGCCCAGCAGTTGGCCTCTCTGAAACGTGTTCGTCATGTAGACCGTGGCTCCCAGGAACCCCACGGAGACCCACAGCTGGTCCCGGGGTCCAGGGCGTATGTAGGCATCACCCGGTGTCCGAGGTCACCGCTTGGGGCCCAGCGGGTCACCCAGAGGGTCCCCCTGTACCTCCTGCCCCTGGGAAAGACTGTCTGCTGGTGTGTGTGCGTGTGCGTGTGTGTGTGTGTGCATGTGTGTGCATGTGCGTGTGTGTAGCAGGAAACGGTCTGAAAGCTCCTGCTGTGTGGCCCTCCCTGGACACACGTGGATTCAGCGTGGCCTTGGCCCTCTGTCGAGCAGATGTTTACCCTCCTTTGCAGGTCAGATTTGGTGAGTCGTCAGGGCCCTGGAACCCAGTCCTCGCCCTCCCCGGCCCAGTTCGTATCTCAAGGCATGAGCAGGGTCCAGAGTGGGAAGCCCCTTCCCAACTGGGACACAGAGCAGCGATCTGGCCCGGACCCTGGCCTTTCTGAGGTCCGGCCCACTTCCTTCCAGCTTGTCGGTGAGACTGTTGTCATCCCCGTGTGCCCAGATGTGGCCAGCTCCTTACTTTACTGAGCCTCAGTTTCCTCATCTGCAGGATGGGTCTGCTCAAGGTGCCGGGCTCCTAGGGGGATGTAAGCACACAGCCTAGCGAGTGGCATGAAGGAGCCACCCTCAACGATGGCAAACACTTGTCAGAGGTGCAAGCAGGCATGCTGGTGGTCGTAATTAATATTGTTTTGACTACACAATTCATCTTCACCTTGAACTGGCCTTAGATGTGTCTTCCGGACGAAGTTCCTTGGTCCAGAGGAGTCTTCCTTCGGCCCTGGTCTTTGTGCCTGGCACACATGGAAAGCTGGGATCTTCCGTTTGCCCAAATCTTTTTTTAAAAAAGTATTTTTATTGATTTCAGAGAGAAAGGGAGGAGGAGAAATAGAAACATCAGTGATGAGAGAGAATCATTGATGGGCTGCCTCCTGTATGCCCCACACTGGGGAAAGGGCCTGGCACCTGGGCATGTGCCTTGCCTGGGAATGGAACCACAACCTCCTGGTTCATAGGTTGACGCTCAAGCACTGAGCCACCCGGGCCGGGCTCAGTTTGCCCGAACCTTAACGGGATCTGAGGTCCCCTCACTTCCTGCCCCCGGGACTTGTTCATTTTTGGGCTGCCCTGGCCTGCCTGCCTTGCGTGGGACACGCACTCTGTGCTGGGCACGGAGAGGGAGACGTGCCCAGAGAGGTGTAACTCCTGCCCTCGGAAGGGGCAGCCAGGCTGGGGGACACCGAGCCAGAGGGCTCAGGCCGTCTGCCTTGGTCTGAGCTGCATCCTTGTAAAGGCTCCTGGGCCCTAAAGAGGCAGCAGCCTGACCCCCTCCCCATCCTCCCCGCGGTGCTCCTCAGGGACCCTGCTCACTCCCCGCTCTTGCTCGGACAGCGGGCTCTGCCTTGGCCTCGCTCGCCTCCCCGGAGCCTCACTGGCCGTTTCCCTGATGCCCAGATCGGCCCGGTGTGCGGCTGCTCGTAGCAGGGATGAGCCTTGTCCTTCTGGTGGCTAGGACCCCTGCACCCAGAGCCGGGAGCGGGACCCTGCTGGGGGCCAGGAGTCGGGCTGAGAGATGCGGGGTGTCCCTGGCTGAGCTCCAGGGTCCCTCTGGCTTTGGGGAGTCCCAGGAGGGTCCCTCGTGGAGGATAAGGAACATCCTCTGGTCACTGTCCCCTCCGCCCAGCTCTGCTCCCCAGCCGTGGTGGGAGGCCGGATCGGGCACCCATCTGGGGACACGGGATGGCGTTGGGGTGTGGAGGGCCCCGCAGCCACGTGTTTTTTTTGGGGGGGTCCCAGCTTGTTGGTGAGCGGGAGTGGGGGTGGGGGTGAGAGCTGGAGGGTGGGGGTGTGGGGGTGTGTGTGAGCCGGGGGTGAGCCGCCGGGAGAGGAAGGCCCCGCGGGAGGCAGCTCAGCAGCGCCTGTGCGTCCTGCGTGCACGGGGAAGGTCATGCGGCCTGCTCCCTGCCCCCACGGCTAACGGGGCAGCAGCCGGAGGAATCGAGGCTAGACTCTGACACGGAGCTGGGCATCTGGGCAAGAAACATCAAGTCTGTCGTTAGGAAAGAACTCAAAACCCTGGAGAACAGGGCTGGGCCCCACGCAGGCCCGTGACCTGGGCCAGTCACTTCCCCTCTCGGAGCTGCTGTAACACCTGCTCTTGTGACTCGGTGGGTCCAGGTGA